AGGGTGATTGCAGAAGAAGTTAAAAGGTTCTACGTTGTGGTCATGGTTAACATAGATCTTGGCCTACTTCTTGGAGATATGGCAGAAGTGATTAACAAGTTCAAATCGGGTATCTTGTCAGCTGCCCAGTTCTGTCTAGTATCACGAATAGAACATTTCTCAGGCAACCCATTGTATTCGACCAAAGAGCAATTCTGCAACAGTGAGATATCTCACGACATTTTGATCAGATGTAGCGGAGAAGAGGGGTTGAAGAATCTGGTGCTATCGGTTTGTATCGATAAGAAGAAGGTCATTCGAGTGAAGAGGTTGCAATGGGAAACCAGACCATTTTTGTTGTAATGGAATGTCAGCGAATTAGAAGGCTCCTCTTCCTGCAACTTGGACAAATTGATCCAAGATATAAACTCAATGTGCATAATTCTGAGTTTTATTGGCAAAGGAATTTACCTTAATGTTTATATTACTAGTTTAGATTATGCGTGTGGCTTCTGTGTTTTGGTTGATTTCTAATCATTTGCATCTCTGAAATTTACCGGTTAGTGTTTTTCAGAAGTATTGAAGGGCGGCAAGAGCATAACTGGAAGTCAATTCGTGATAGTTTAAGCCCAGAAGTTCAATATCAGTAGTAGGGAATACTGACTTCTAACTTTTTTCTTGCAGAATTTGAAGGAATGCATGATTATTTTTGATGTCGTCAAAGGCATCATTGCAGAGTCACTTCTTGGATCCTACATGTTGTCCTCTCTTTAGATTCTCAGTACGTTTGTGAACTGGGTTCCTAATGGTTCTTGCTTTTCCCATTTATGTTTTACGGTTTTAGTGTGGTGATGGGTATCCATGGCGGTTTGGTCGGAGATATCTTTCTCACCATCCAAATAAATAAGAAAATGATAATTTGGGGATTTAAAAAAATAAAATAATTAAATAAAAATATTTTTCAAAGATAATTGACAGAATCGGTCTTTGTCTAACGGCCAAAGTTTTTCAGGAGGTTTTTATTGCAAATTAAAGTATAGGGATCTTTGTCACTGACCCTATAGGGGGGGTCTTTGTAATTTACCCTATTAAATATGTTCAGCAGTGTGTGAGCCTGGTTTCAGCCCAAGGACCTTTTCTTAATGCTGGCCCATTTAAGTTGGGTCAGGTTGGGTTCTAGCCCAGCAGGTGTTGGCCCATACTACATAATAATCGATGAGATGTATTTGTTTATATTGTGACATAAGTACCTACCTGTTTGAGTTCTTTTATAAATATCATGCTTTAAATATTATTTGAAGCAGCGTTTTAAAAAATGACCCGGAAATGAAATCGTTCTGGCCACCGGTTTTTGGGATAATGGTCCGACCATCTAGTTTGAACAGACGGTCCGTTCTGACAGAAAATTAAAAAAAAAACTAAAAAATAATTAATAAAATAAAAAAAACAGTCAAAAACCATTGAATGGATCGATCACCTAGGTCAACAGTTTATTGACTTTCTCAATGGTTTTTTATCAGATTCTGGGTTTTGGATAAAACAAAACTGATTGTTTGGACGATTCCTAAACCAAATGGTCCGACCGTCCGGATCAATGACAATTTGAAAACGTTAATTTGAAGAATCATCTTTCGTGTAAATGCCTCTCTGTATACCAGCCCACGAGCTCCAGGGCCTTGATTTGGACTGGAGCCAGTCCAAGCCAACTTGAATTCACTTTGGGCCCTGAAATTGAGCCCAGCTAAGTCCTGTCCCTATGTGCACATATACATTTATATCTACATAAATATTCATAAAAATGTCTTCAGCCGCCTTCTGTGGACTCTGGGGCTGCCACTTATCTTCAAAATGAAAGCAAGAGGTTGTACAAGAACCGTGCTCGATACAATTGTGTATTTTGGCCTGGCCTAAAATGCTTGAATTAGACTTAGATGAGCACCAAATGTTATAGAACTATTTTCTCAAATTTTTTTAATAAAACCTGTACATCGCATAGATCCCAACTAGAAAAGATTTAATCCCGACTAATTGGATTCAAGTTGATACAAGATATAGCAGCAATATGTAATCGGATTGAATCATGGTTTTTAAAATTGAACCGGTCAGGGGTCTTATTAAAATTATTTGAATGGTTTGAACGGTTAAATGGCCGGTTCATTGGTTTACTGATCAAAATCAATGATTTTGAGGAAAACGGAACCAGTTAAGTGACCGGTTCTTGGTTTTTCAGTCTGATCCGGTTTTAAAAATCATGGATTGAATTGAGGATATGACTAGATCCGATCCAAATTCCAGTTGTTAATGATTTAGATACATTTTTGGCCTCATGTGTTCTCTTCCCTTTCGCTCACTTGATCTTGCTCTCGTCCCCTGTTTTAGAGGATGGTGGTGACTTGGGAAGACCTTACTTTCGATAAATGGGATACATCCCACGTGAAAAAATAGGCCCATGCCAATGGGTCGGGTCTAACCAAGTTAGGGAAGATCTAGTCCCCAACCGATAAGAAAACAGAACAAGTCCAAATTCAGAACTGTGGGATCCATACAAGTAATGGACCCTGAACCGGCCAATATGAAATGACAGTTTTAGACATCATTATGTTATTGGGAAAATCTATGATGCCAGAAAGATACGATACCCAATGCAGTTGATGTGGGTTGATTGGTTATAAGTTTATTATCTCTACTAACTATGTAATGCCATGCCTTGTCATAAAAGTTAAAGCAGAGTGTCATGTGATTGATAGTTTTATAACAGGTGCATAGCAAACACCCTTAGGCCTCTTAGTATACAAAACATCGGTGGAGGGTATCTTTGTAATGTGCTAAGCCCCTGTCTGGGGCTGCTTCTTTTACTTACTGGGAAAATCACTCAAAAGAATCTAAAAACATTCAAAAAGTACCTATGGGTGTTAGATAAACCCCTAGATAAAAAGCTCAATAAGTGCTTTTTTCAACAAAATAAACCCGTTTTGAAGAAGCTTTAATAAGCCCTCTTTTGAAAAAAGTCCGTTTAGAAACAATAAGTACTCCCAAACATCACCTAATACACACACAGGAACATAATTAGTTTAGATAAAACCAAGCCTTAACATATCTTTCTACGCCTAGACCCTGTATAATGGCATTATGTGTGTTTGGGTTGGTTGGATTTATACAAACCACTGACAACCCTAGTGAAAAGGCAAATGTTACATGCAGTCATGCACACACTTTGTTTTTCACTTGTTCAACTAAGGATCTGTTTGGTTCACAATCAGAACAGGACTTGGAATTGAAATCAGAATGGTCTACTCCCCTCATCTGTTTGGTTCAGACCGAAAACAAAATCAGAATTGGCTGGAACAGATTTCATTCCCAGGGGAGAGGGAGGGAATGGCCACTCCACCAGGAATGGGAATGAGATTTTGATTCCACCCAATCAAACAGTTGGAATAGAATGGACCATTTCAATTCGGATTCCAATTCCCTATTCCTGCAAACCAAACAGACCTTAGGAGTGCAAGTTAGGCACCCAATTTGAAGATTGTACAAATCATTAAACCTGAGTTCTTGGGCCAGGCTTAAGGTTGCAACTTGGGCCGGGTTGGCCCGAACCCAACCCAAAAAAATTGGGTTGGATTGGGTTAGGTTGATGTTCGGGTTGAAATTCACGAACTCGACTTTACTTCAGGTTGGGTTAGGGTTGACCCCTTAGCCAACCCGAGCCAACCTGAACCCAACTCTATAGTACATGTCATATATAAATATATGTTATATGTAATATATAACATACATTGATTTGTTTAGATGCATGATATCTGTATAGCCCCCATCACATAGTATCATGTATTTCTTTCAAGATAATCACTTCACTTAATCCTAATCAAAAAGACTAAAACCTTAAAAATAGTATTTTATGTTTTTTTGAAAATTTTATTCTTCATCTCTTCTATGTTGTTTGCCGCCCAAGAAAGATCTATCGTAAGCCATAACTCATAATAAACTATAGTTATTTCTAACACTTGTTTTTTTGAATTGTATACCAAAAAAAAAAAAAGCGTCAACAAACAAATACTAATGAACATAAGATTAATATATGTAGTGATAGTTGAGATAAGATCTAAAATCGAGAAGTTTATGAGGTTTTAAGGGATGGGAAGAATGTTGGGTTGGATTGGGTTAGGGTTGAAGGAATTTAGTTAAGGTTGGATTGGGCTAGGGTTGGCCTCAACCTGACCTAACCCGGCCTGACTTATAGCCCTGGCCCAGGCTCATTCAATTTTAACAAATCCTCACCCTGAACACACCCAAGTTACACCCCTATCGGTAGATTCAACCAGACCAATTATGTTGGTTTTGGTTGTGGTTCGTGTCTCAATTAATAATTAAATCAGGTCCAGTTCTTGCTGTTCCAAATACATTGAGATCGGAACCAATTATACGGTTAATAATATATAAATGTCCCATTTTTTTGTAACTTTTGTTATTTTTATAACTAAAATGATAAATTTCATAGTATATAAGAAAATTTTGGTTAGAAAACTTGTTTTTTTATCAACTTATAAACAATTTACTATTTACTGTCATTTATATTAAGGTTATATTATCAAAGACGAAGTTCCACGTTGTTATATATCATAGGTAATTAAATATCAAAAAATATGTCGTAGGTAATTATAAATGTCAAGTATAATGAGATTGAGATCTAATCAAGTCAGACCCAGATTAGTAATTGGTTGGGTTCTGGGTCTAATTTATAGAAGCAAGTAATTATCGGTTCGGGACTGATCCACCCCGACACGAACCAGATCTGACCACTGACAGGTCTATCCTTCAGCAACTGCAATGCCGTCTAAAGCAACTACTTGCATTAGATGTGAACCAGTTAATAATCGGTTCAGGACCGGTCATCATCAAGAACATCAGATGTGAAGATTTCCATGAATCCACTTGCATTGCCATTCCCAACTACTATACTCAACTTGCAAAACTTCCACTGAGAAATTATTTCACTATAAGCAGAGACAAAGACCTAGAAATGCAGCACCAATAAAAGGTAAGCTATCTCAAAACTTATTACCAAGGCAGCAACTAGAATAATACATGTAAAACTCTCTCTCTCTCTCTCTCTCTCCATTCAGCTCTAGATAAGACAACCTCCTTTGCAGTTTGGGACTTTGAGCTATATATTACAATCTTTTGTCAGCCTATACAAAAAAACCAGCCACATCCATCCTTTAGACATTCCACTTATGAAACAGGTCAGCATTCTCAAACATGGTAAAGGGAAGGGAAAAGGTAAAAAGGAAAACAAAAAACAGAAAAACCTCATTTACAGTGTTCTTTTGCATGTTGAAATGCAAATTTTGTTGATTGGGTGTTCCATTCTTGTGTCCCATGGACAATCAGTTTCAAGGACGGATAAGATGCGAGTGAACTGAACTACTAGTGCTAGCCTGTTGCACACTGAAACTTGAAGATGGGGGTAGAAGCTCTGCCTGTGGGAAGGATCCATTGGATGGCACATCCAGCAGTAGATCCTGATCAGAACTGTCATCAGTATACTGGAAAGAGTCAAACATGAGGGTGCTTCCATCAGGAGGGAAAGTAAATAGGCTTCCTGGACTGAAGCAAGATCCATCATTGTCATAGCTGGCCTTCATGCCCACCCTTTTGGGACTCTTGATTGTGGTTTTTGGCTCTGAAACAGGAGTTTATAAATGATGCTTCCACAGTACTTTTCTTTTTGATAATTATGCTTCCACAGTACATTGCAACAAAGGTAGGATTTTTTATTTTTTATTTTTTGCTTTACAGAATCAATTTATATAACTATTATTCTATATTAGACATTTACGAGAGAGAATACTGATGAAAAAAAGGTTAGAAGAGAAAAAAAAAAACTAGATATGTTTATGAACTTTAAATCTAATCACCCTTAGAGCAATTGGATAGACAAAAAAATAATAAAAAACAAGGGTGCAAGAGAAGATATAAATAAACATGAATTAAGTGCTTAGTTTATAGTCATAGATAGGAAAATAGCTACCTGAAAAGTTATGATATTGCCCATCACGTGGTCTCTTGATGGCTGAAAAATCACTTGACCCAAGCACACTGTTTCCTGTTGCAACCCCCTTCCCTCCTGTAACCTTTTTACATTTTACATCCTAGAGCCAATGGAAACAGAGAATAGAAAATTAATTGACAGAGTAATTAGTTGTTGGATACAGTTGTACATTTAAATTCAAACAAATCGAATAAACTTAACTTCCTCTTTGCTATAATAGCCAAAAAATAAAAAATAAAAAAGTAATTAATTCATACCTTAAGCAGATTATAGTGTTCTACCCATTTGGACGTTGCCAAATTGACCAACAGAAGCCGCTTCAGAGTCTTACAGTCTTCAGTTGTCCCTCCAGGAAAAGAGAGATCAAAGACTCCTTCTGCAAGCAATTTCTGGAATGAGGATAAGTTCTCCTTGAATTGAGGGCTATCAAACATGCTCTTAAGGCTGCACATGTGGAAACAAGAAAAATTTTGTGTCAGGACTCAACATCATGTACCTCAAGAACCTCTACATAATCTTCAGCATTGTAAACACATGACACTTGTATGTAAAAAGGTTATTACCCAATGTGCATGTATCTGTACCTCCACCTAATTCTGGTACCTGCCTCTCTCTGTCGTAATTTTAAATAAAAATAAAACTTGTGACAGCTAACATTACTTAGGAAGCCCCCACGAATTTGAGGTGGATTATAGAGTTGATATGGAATACAAGATATTGAAAACGGCTAATCCAGAAGGTCCTTTATCCAGTGAACAGTTCAGATTGCAACCTTATCCCTCCGCATGGCAGAAACAAACAAATTGTATCCCTAGTTCGTAATTCCATGTGTAACATCCAATATATACTAATATCATAAAGTCCACTCCTTTGCTGTTATTATCAACTGAAACATGAGTAATAAGGATTCTGACCTGTCAGGAAGTCTAGCAGTATCTGTAGAAGGTAGATACTTCACCAGTTGCTGCTGTTCTTCATGCGTCAAATGATTTGCAAACTCCTCAAAGCTAACAACATCCTACTCCAAACATGGACTGCAATCATGTAAGCTACGCAACAATCTTAGGTAAAAGTAAAACAGAATACCAAAAGCCTATCTCAGCCAATTTGGTCGCATCTAGAAGCTACTAAATGTTATTTTTGACACACAGACCTAGATTTGAAGAATATAACTTCTGCACAAAATCAAATAAATAACTTTAGAAGTGAAATCTTACTTTTAAATTTATGGATCTCAGCGGTGAATTACGATGTCGCAGAATTTGTGACTTCTCAAAGAGAGTCTTATCCCTGCAACATAAAAAATAGGGAAGTTTAGCCCACAAAAGCAACAATGAGCTTGTATGGTGAGTAAAAATGCTTAATTTGCCCCAGAATAATATAAAAGGATGCCGGGATGCAACAAAAAAGAACTAAAGTGGTTTTTCAATGATCTCTAAACCATACTTGGGAAGTTCAATCTGAAACTACAATTAGCTTTTAATGAAATTCAAAATGTTACTAATTCACCTCTTCATCTGATCTTGTTCTGTGTCCTGTCCTGTGGACTTCTTCAATTTCTCATTGCCAAGAGTTGGAAAGCATATACCCTTGTTACTATGTATAAGAATGGATGCAGAACCTGAGTAAGCTTCATTTACTGTGTATGGTTTGTTATCCATTGAAAGGGAACTGGCTTCAGATTCTTCCTCTCGGGTGACTGATCCTGGATGCTTGATGAGAACACTTCCATGTCCTATCTCAACAGAAACCATTGGGGTCTCGCTTTCGAAAAGCAAGTCTTCTTCTGAAGATCCCGAGAAATAAGAAGATGCTTGTTGCTCATGTAAAATGGAGCATAGATCTTTTGTAAGCTTCTCAACCGGAGATGGCTTTGGGCGACTCACACAAGTCCTCTTCCTTGATGGAACAAGTGTATCCCACACCATGGATTGAGGTGGACCTGAAAAAGATTAATAGTAAGGTAGCTCAACTAACTTGTGTTTATCAAACATAACAGAAAGCTACTACATAAAACAAAACAGATATGACATCTTCACTTATTCTTCATAGGAATCAAAATCCTTTGAATAAGAAATGCAGCTTTACTCAACAGAAAGTATAAGAAATAAACAGCATTTTGTGTGTTCTGATTGGGTTGCTTATATTTGGATGCAACATGTCCATGTTTTTATTTGTTCATTTAATGGAGCTATTATGCAACTCTATTCGTGTTAAGTAATCAGATTACATTTTTGAGGCTTTACAGAAGGAAATGGAAAAAATGTGAATATATGACCTATTACTTCAGACATTATAGACCTAAACTCATTTCTCTCAAAAAGTTGACATCAAGGAATAATGATGCTATTCCAACCTGTGAAATCACTTGCATCTGTACCACCAAATTGTGCACAACCCTCAGAGTAAGATATGGCTGATCCTGAACTTGATCTATTACTAGTATCCTCTTCAAGACCCTTCCGAAAGGTTTGATCATATTCAGGGGCTCCCCTTCCAACTATCATGTTATCATGACTTTTCTTTCTCTTATGCAACTTTGCCTCTTTGGCCTTAATAGATATGCTCTTTACTTTTGGAGCCTTATAGTCCTCATAATCATCAGTCTCCACTCGAGCATGTAAAGGGGTGTAGTTTGCAAGTGTTCCCTTTGTTCGCCATCGAGATCCACATGCATTGCATAGAATTGGCTTTTCCGGTGGCCCATTACGCCAAAGAGGGGTACCTGTTGCATTACTTTTCTGTCAGCAACCAATCTACTAAACCAATCAATAAGCAAGAATAACTTGAAGACATAAAAAAGAGTAAACTTTAAACACTGAAAACAAAGAGGATTTGGCCCCACTCATATAAGCCCCTAATAATAGTCAATTTCAAAGACTACATGACCATGAATAGCTCCAAATCAAAAGTTGCAGAAAAGGCTAAGGTGTCATGTTATTCTTCAATAATGTGAAAGGTTAAAAAGGATAACATCTGATTTGAAGCAAATCTTTTAGTGCTATAACCCATCCATGCTATCCCATCTGGGCAATGTTGAATTTATAAGGACTTAGTTTAAAGAACTAGGGCCCATTGTTTGGAGTGATTGCAGATGCTACACCTTGCCACATGCTCATATCTTTTCATTCCATGGCCTGGATACCACATGGCACCATCTAGCATGTGCAAATAGAAGTTTGAACAGAATATAAATAGAGGTTTATTCTCCATTACAAGACCAAGTATCAAGATATATTTTAAAATGCAAGAGTGTCATTCATGAGCAGAGAAAAGCTGAAAAGACTATAATCATATTAATCAGCAGGACTTTTAGAATTGTATTCCTTGTAAACATTATCCTATGCATACAACACATTGAACATAAAATGGTTAGACTTAATAAGTGGATCACTGTTATTCCAGAGTAATATGTGCAGATAAATCATGAAATAGAGTACACTGAGAAAAATATGCTCCTTTTGTGTGCTATAGCCTGGGTCTTTGAGTTTGCATTTATAAAGTGCATATGAACACGAAAACAGGAGCGTGTTTTTCATTGCATCTCTAACCACCTTGCAATGTTGTTAAATGAAACTATATTGGTTATGTCGTGCTCCCTTTGCTTTCAAAATTGTTAGAAGATATTGGGGTGTGATTATGACATAGACTGAACACAGAGCAACAAGTCATTATGTGATCTGGGACTTCTGTCATCATACATCAATCTGTACCAACAAAATTAAAGTTTAAACTAAGGTAACATTAACGATGGTTAGAATGGAGTTATTTGTCCCATGTTCCTAGTTACAATTTAGGAGGATAAATGACCAGAGCCAATTACATCCTAAACTGTTATTCCAAGCATGGACAATATAGAATAAGGAATGGTCCTACAAGAGTACATTTAACCAGGATAATAAGAGGAGAAATGCCTCTGAATACTTGATAGTGCCCATGCCTAGCATGTTTAGAATCTTAAAACACTTGATTTTAATGCAAAACTGTACTTCTTTTTCTGTTCTTTTTTAGCCCTATCCTGTTGTTGCAAGGTTCTGGTAATTAAATCTTCTGTATGAAGAAAACAACATCATATACCAATAACTTATGAAGAAATGTTGCTTCTTAAGTAGAGACATTTTGCATAAACAAATTTCTTTCATTTATTTTTAAGCTTCACAATGCCAATGAAACAACCTGTTCCTTAATTTCCTCAGTTAAATTATACAAGTGAAATGAAAGGGCCTTCTAGTACCCTTCTAATTAACTTAGTTGTATAAGGCATGATCAAACAAGGGTGACGTGAGTTACAAGTGCAGGAACATGCTGTTATGAGCTACGAGGGTTTTCTAATATCCCTTGTAATTAACTCATTTGTATAGTGGATGAACAAACAAGGGCATTGTGAGTTTGTGAGTTACAAGTGTAGGAACAGGCTGTTATACAAGTGAGCTACAATATTCTTATAAATGTTTATTCTTGGATAGTTAATTTACTGTACATGGCATGGGCAAACAAGAGCCTTGTGCGACATAGCAATGTGGTTGGTAAGGGATACTAGAGTGGCCAAAGAAAGATCTGAATGAAATAAGGGCACTGAGGGATGAGGCTCAAGCAACAATAAACCACTAAATGAGAAGATTAGCAAAAGAAGAGACACATGAAGTGTCCATTCTTGGCAGTTTAAGCCAAATCAAAAGTGCAAGACAATGAAGAGCAAGTTTAGAAGAAAATTTCAGCACTGATAGTGGTAGAAACATCAATTTAAGAGACATGGAAGCAAATGATAGCTCTAACAAATGACTAGGAGAATGTAAGGTAACTTATCCCAAAGGAGAAAAGGAATTGGTATTTTATTTTTACACATTACCTCAAAACCAAGCCCAAGACCACATTTTTGAGGGAGGAAAGATATATAATTGAGCTATGAGCTCAACCTAAATGAACTTTTATAATAATATTAGTATCCAAGTTCTCTCAATGATGTGGATTTGTTTCTCTGAAGGAGCACTTTTTTCTAGTGTTTGGCACAAATAGAAAGAACATATAAATTCTGAAACATAGTCTCTCCCTTCCAAAACCATGTTTTTATTTTTACACATTATCTCAAAACCAAGCCCAAGACCACACTTTGAGGGAGGAAAGATATATAATTGAGCAATGAGCTCAACCTAAATGAACTTTTATAATAAATATTAGTGTCCAAGTTCTCTCAATGATGTGGATTTGTTTCTTTGAAGGAGCACTTTTTCTAGTGTTTGACACAAATAGGAAGAACATTGAAATTCTGAAGCATAGTCTCTCCTTCCCAAACTCATTTGGCAGTTATGAATCTTGTCCACATTGTGATATCAAATACTTGAAAAGAAAAACTAGAATGCAACAACCATAATCGGTGTATGCTCTTCCTGCAATAAAGATTAAAATAGAGAAGCAAATGTAAGACTAAACAGTCATGAAAAGCATCAGCAAAGCAGAGAAATTAAGATTCTTTCCCAAGGCAGAAACTCCACTAATTTTGTCCACTACTAAATACACCCCACGCTTGGCTATAGAATGACAAACCAAGAATATTTCTTAGATGGAGAATTAGATTGATGTAATGTGGTAGTGCAGAAATATTTAAGAATTTATAGTATAGCGACTTGAGTATTAGATGGAACAGTTTCAAGAACAATATGTGTAAACATAATTGAAGGAAATCATTTAAGATGAATTTGAGAGTGGATGCTTAGCAATAACTTATTCCTATAAAACAGGAACAAGTAAATATAGGAAAAGCATTGTAGACTTGTTTTCAATCAATAAAAAGCACTTCAAACATTGTAGTTAGCAAAAGTACATTCATTCATTCTAATTGAACCATAAAATTTGCCCTTTATACACAGAGAATCATAAATGGAAAAGAGACAGAGCAAGGTATGACTACACAATGATCTTCTTTTCCAGAAAAGAAATTGCATAAAAGGGCAGGAAGAATTTAGAATAACCAAAACATAGATTCCCTAAAAATTCATTCCACCATTATCTGCAAAATTAACAGCGCCAGTGAAATGAAGGCTATATATTCAAAGGAACATGAACACGAATGAAGAACCAAATGAAAAAAAAAAAAAAGCAAAGCCAAATTATTCTAATACACAAAAAAAAAAAGAAAAAATAAACAAGTACATGTTCAAAACAAAAAAGCAGACTCTATGTAGTCCTGTAAAAATTCATTTGTACAAACGCATGTGAGTGAAGAGGAAAAGAAATACATATTAAAACACATGCTTCATTTATTTCCTGGTTCAAGTAATCTCTCCATCACTAAAATAGACTACTATATGCAAACATTTCTCCGTAAAAGAAATTAATTTAGATAAAGAAACCCCATTTACATAAACGAGAAAAAGAAATTGAATCCATTTTTTCTTGAATATTCAGTACAGAAAACAAAAAATAAATAAAAAAAAAACAGTACGCAAAACGAATGAAGACTCACTTGTAACTCCACAGTGATAGCAAGGCCCTTGTTTGCCCATGTCTCTCTTCTTCCTTAATTTCCAAAGTAAGATTCACAATAACGAAAACAAAGGAAAAAGGCGAAAAGGAAGAAAAAAAATAAAAGGAAACGCACTGATTTCTTCACAAAAAATCGAGTAAATTTGGAAAATTATACGTTTATTCTCTTCAACCTCGTTTAAACGAATTACTGTGTTCGCAAGTCTCTTCTACTAAAACTCAGGTAAAGTTTGCAGAAGAAAAACAAAAATCCAAGATACCCAGAACAGGTTCTTTCTTATAGTCTCAAAATAAATCAGAGAAAATAGCGGAATCAACCAAAAACAGAGAGACTGAAATGGGATTTTAGCCCGGATTCTGTACAATCCCAAATGGAAGAGAGAGGACCCTTGAAGGAATCCAAATAAAGGTGGAGAAAGGAAGGTAAAATGGGGATGGTGTTTGTATGACTTGTTGTTGTTGTTCTATTGTATGTGGAAGAGTAAATGTTCAGCTTTCATTGCTTTATTTTGATGTTATTGAAAAACATATAGTCCTTTTTATATAGAAAAAATCATTTTTAATTTTATGACGGAGCAAGGATAGACAAATATTACCTCTATATCCTGTTGACTCTGGACTCTTCTGAGTTTGGGGTTTGGCTCAAAAAGAAAAAAAGCATTTACAGAAAAATTATAGACCAAATGAAAAAAGCAAGAGCCAAAGAATATAGAGAAAAAGAGGAAACAAGCAAAAAAAAGTGATTTTCCCCAGAAAAAAAAAAGGAAAGAAAACCTTTTTCTTCTATGTTTTAAATGTTCATTATTCCATAATGTCAATAACTATTGGTGGGTTTTCTGCAAAAAAAAAAGTCTAAAAAAATTAAAACAAAAAATAAAGGAATAAGAGTAGGAACAATTAAAGGAAGAAAAAGGATTTATGGAAATAATTTTCATCTCTAAAGTTTTTTGCTATCAGGAATGAAGAACCAGCGAAAGAAGAAAAAGGATTTCTCGAAATGATTTTTAGCTCTAAAATTTCTTGCTATTGCACTTCTAGTCCTTGTGTGTGAGCCTGAGTGTGTGAAAACAATCCTACAGTGCAACCTATAAAGGTCGATGTTAGTCTACCATCAGAGGCGTACACGTGTTTCTGCGGTTCACTTTCACCGTCCGTTCATTCTTCGCACGAACGGCAGTGATGGATGAACGTAGAGGCAACATGTACGGTTTACGATGCACGGCTGTAGCAACTTCTATGGTCCTTATCCTATGCCAAATTACGTCATAAATTTAGATTTTTTAGTTTTAATTTTGGAAAATGTTAAAATCTTTACCTAGTCAGACTCGTATGTGTGGGTCCCACCAGAATTCATAAATCATAACTGCTTGGTTTTCGTCGACTGGATCTTCTTCTTTTTCTTTTCTTTTTTTTCTTTTTTTAATTTTGCATTGAAAACAAATATTAAAAGGAGAGCCGTTTTCACCCTGGGGAAGTAGAAAAGAACCCATTTTTTTTTCTTTTGTAATTTTGGTTTTTTCTAGAGCGGATATCCACGACATTGTGAAATGTCATAAACACCCTCCCATTCACCCCTGTCGAAAATCCCAAAAATGCCCCTTTCTTTCCCTCTCTCTCTCTCTATCCCCAAGATTCTAACAAACCCATTCTCTTTTAGTGCTTGCTTAGATTATTGAATTATGGGTACTGAGATCACATGTCATGTAGGCAGGGGGTGTGATTGCATGTGCTTCGGGTGTACGTGATCATCGGTCCGGACCGTCTGATTTGAATCCTAATAATCTTGTAGACAAATTGGAAAGTGGGTAGCTAATGAAACGGACAGGACCACCGTACAGATGTTGGCCCATCCACTTCTGATTGTAGACCGCTTGATCCGAATTCTGCGGTGGTCTGCTTCTGATAAAAGTATAAAACCAAAGATGTACCAAGTAGTAACAAGCAACAACCAGTTGGTGGAGACTGGAGAAGAAGATGTCGACATTGGATGGTTACTCGGTTAGATGCTTAATTGGGCTTGATCCCCATCAGAGAGAGGTGGCCTACAGAATGGACTAGACTGATGAGCCCATGGCCCATGGGCCCTCTTGCTTTTTCATTCTGAAATGAAATCTATTATCCCCTGGGTCCTCCTCCTTTATCTAGGAGACTGGGAAGGAAATTGCAACTTGAAAGGTGGGCCCACGAGATGTTCTTCGATGATGCATTTAATGGGCCAATCGATGGTGTGGGGCCAGCGCGATGAATGGCTACCATATCTAGTTTTATTTTCTATAATGAAGGCTGGCGATATCTTGTCGAAACACTGTATCATGGTTTGTACTGGTACTAGAAACAAAGTCCCGATTGTTTCGAAGTTATCATGCCGAATGGTGGGAGGCTTCAATTCCCCGGGCCCTACATAAATTAACACAGCCCACTGCCCACTGCCCACTCACGAAAGGGCCGGCTTTATCGATTAAAATCCTCCGTGAATTTGATAAATGACCACCTGACCTGACCTGATTGCCCGATTGGTTAGTGGTAGTGGTTACCTTACCACTTTTTATGATACCGAAAATCCGGTATCGTAGCTGAATCTGGAGTCTGGACAAAGTTTTGTACCGAGGGCAAGTCGTATGACGCATCACGCATGTGTGAGACTGACTACGTCTGTTACGATCATCTTTTCCCTTCATTTCAAAGTTCAAACATTGACGAGGGCATTTATGTAATTCTAGTTTAAGAATTATCAGGCACGTCGCCTGCCATAATTGGGTAGTTGTTTTCAGCCACCCAATTAGGCAACTAAGCAAATAGAAAACTTCCTGATTTTGGGGAGATACCCTTCATCACTAACTTCAATGCCAAAGATGCCCTTATCTCCTTACTATTTCCAATAGCCAAAATTTTCTTTTCTACTTTCCTAGCTATGACTTCAAATGTGTGTGTGTGTGAGAGAGAGAGAGAGAGGGGGGCCCGTGATATGGATCAAAAGTCACACTCCATTGAACCAGAGACAGGTGGAAGCATCCCACTGGCTGAAAGGTTACCATCCAATGCACAGAACTTCTCAATCCCACCAATTTCTGATGCATCATGAGTCATGACTCAGGGCAATTAACCAACCCAAGAAAGGTTGTCAAGTCAGCCTTTTTAGTGGTAGACAGATAAAATGTGGTCATTGCTAGACCAAAATTGGAGGCCTCAGGGGCCTGGGAGATGTAAAATTTGCTAAAATGAATTAGTAGATCATCCTGTAGTCAATTCCATTGGAATCGTATGAATCACTCCAATTCTCTAAACTAAAAAATATATATATATATATATATATAGTTCTGTTTGGACTTTGGGAACCCATTAGCTCTATTTGGGTAGGTCGATTATGGTGAAAGAGGCATGATATCTACATAAAGCGGTTAATAAATGACCATTGACCCACAGTAAAGGGTGGGTGGTGGGCCAAAGACAATCCTAGATAGTACTAAAGATCAAAAGGCTTAATTAGGGGTGACTGACTGGTTGCCCATACTTGAAGATTATTCCCCACATATACACACATTAAATGATGGTTTAGGGGTGTTTAATTGGTGTATCTCTCAGTAGCTCTACCCCATTTAATAAGGCTGCATCCTGCAGAGCAAAGAACACTATCCCCCTTGTTGTGGGTAGAGAGATAATTTCATATACATGCCTTTAAAGGGCAACCAACATAAAAGTGATGGAGTTCGATTTCTTCTTTTAGATATATAAGGGTAAAAAGTAAAACAAATATTGCATTGGCAATCCATGACAAAAGCCAAATAAATGTGCTCTTGACCTCCTTTATCACAATGACTTATGTACCCTTGTACACCTCTTAATCCAGCTCAAGAGCCATTACAGAAACACCCAATTGTTTTTAATTGACTAAAGTTGTTGTACATAAACAGCACCACACACCTGCATCATAATTCTAACCACCAAGGTCTGTGTTTGTCTCAAATGCCATATGGGTCCTAACCAAACAGTTGGATTTGTGGCTTTATTATATAAAAAGAAAAAGGGTGCTTTGGGTGTCTCCTTGAACTCCATTGTTCTTGTTATTAATCAGTTTAATTAAACGAGCAAGACATAATTAATTCTTGAAAATGGTATTCCACATGATTGCAAAATATAAGGGCATTACTTCATAACAAAAGAAATAGAATATAATATGTCAAATTATTGAATGATATTTCCTCAGAAGATGTATAATTGATTTATAATATATATATATATATATATAATTGGTCAAATTACAATTGAAATTATATTTTTAAGAGCCCTTATTTTGATATATAATCATACCAGCACTAATAAGTGGATTTCATCAAAATTTTAAACTTAAACATCTTTAGGTTTGAATAGTATTAAGATGAGTGACAATAATAAAATCTGTTAAAAGCAAAAAAAAAAAAAAAAAAAAGAGAGCTTTTCAAGAAAGTTTTATCCAATGGTTTTCCAAAACTATGGTTTTCTCATGTTTTGCAATAATAAAATTTAAGAACAATAAATTATAAAATTGATGGATAAATAGCAATAATTTTAGAGAACCTTTCCGTGCATGGCAGTCCGTAAGAATGTCAGTTTGGGAATCCCCCCCGCTCCCTTATCCACTCTCCACCGCAGCCCATGTGAATATGTGATATTTGATCTGTGTAGTGACCACTCCAACTAATCTTTCTTTTGTCCATTAACCCACCACCGTCCAAATTGTCTTGACCCCCTTCTCTTCCTTCTTTGACCAACTAGTCTCTCTCTCTCTTGTTCATTTTCTTTGAAACCTAACTTTTAATTAAACCCTAATTAATTTATTAATCGATACATTAATTGATGATTAATCATTTAGGCTGTGTTTGGTTGCAATGCAAAAAAAAAATTGTATTGATTCATGATAGTGCAAATGATTTGAGGGTAATTTCTAACCTATTTTTGTTTTAAATTTTAAATTATTTTGTTTGATTACAGTACAAATTAAGTAAATTAAGACATGAAGAAGAATAAAATAAAATTAAACAAGAATTTGCATTTTTTACATTTGCACCCCATGTATTTATACTAGTGAAAATAAATTTGCACTGCAACTAAACACAGCCTTAAGTATTACTTGTGACCCATATGTCACAAACCATTGTGTTAGTCTTCAATTGCATGGGCTTGACCCCGCATCTAAGGATGACAATGGAACAGGTTTGGGAAGGGTTTTGTAAATTCTACCTCCTACCCACCTCCCTAAACCTTCCAACACATAGCGGGTTGGATTTTGAGAATCCAAACCTTCTCCGCATATAAAAGTGCAAAACCCTCCCCAGATTAAAGGGTAGGGGCAAATTGGATTTAGAACATGCATCTAATTTTCTATTATTTCTTGTTATATATAAGCAATAAATAAGTAAAATAATATAAATAAATAATTAAATTTTCAATTATTTGATTAATGCATATAAAAAGCACATAAATAATCAATTCTCTTTTACATAAAATTCAAAATATTATTAAATTTGAATTGATAATAGAAAAAGAAACTTTATCCGCAAAGAAAATATTATTAAATTTAACACCTAATACATAAAAATTATATGCTTTAATTCCAACAATATGCAGGTCGGATTTAGCCTAATATCATACCCT